CAGTAAGAGGAGGCCTGTGTCAACTCCAGGGGACAGCAGTACAGGACAGAGAAAACGAGTATGGCTACTTCTCATTCCCATCCAACGCCTTCCCTGTCCTTCTCCCCAAATCTGCTCCACACTTGCATCTTCTTAGATACTCTTATATCTAAGACACGATCTTATTCCATAATCCAGTCATTCAATATGTATTTACTGAGTGACTCCATACCATGCAATAGTCTAGACAGTGAACAAAACAACTGCAAATCCTTGCCCTAATGGAGCTTATCTACTGCTGAGTCCAGCACTAGTGTCCACAGGTCTGCTGTCTTTCCTTGTCCCCTGGTGGACTAGGCCATGAGACAGAGCTACTGAGACAAACACAAAACTGCCTCCCCTGGGTCTCCCTTACCTGCCTGGCTCAGCCCAGCCGTGATACTCCCTGAACACCCTACTATCTTTTACTGCCAGGCCCTTGCACTCGCTGTTCCTTGACCCTAAACACTCCTTTTTTCCTCCTTTCTTCTTCCTCCCTGGGGTCTCAGCTTGGGTTTTTTTCCCTCTGGGAAGCCTCCTTGGAGCCTCAGGATAGGGTCAAGACCCACTCTCTGTGCTCCTGGGGGATTCTGTGACTACCTCTACGATAGTACTGATCACACTATATTACAATTGCCTGCCTTCTTATCCCATTTCCCTTTAACATAAGGAGTTCCCGGAAAGTTAGGCCTATGTCTTTTCATCCCTATGTATCCCACATGTGCAAAACATGGCTGCTAAGCAAACAAATGAACAAATCAAGGTAGGACAAGGTGAGGAAAAGCCAGGCAGGCATGGCTGGGTGCCACGTGCCTTCCACACTCTTGCCTCAACCTCTCTCACACCCACCTGTCTCATGAGCTCAGGGTTGTTGAGCATGTGGCTAATCTCAGGGTTCCGCTCCATCAGCTGCTGCATCTGGGGGTTGGCCATGATCATGTGGCGCATCAGGTCAGGGTTAGACATCATGTCTTGGACCAGTGGGTTCTCCATGATCTGTGACAGCATCTCGGGATTGGACATCAGCTGCCTCTGCATCTGTTGCTGAAGCTCCATGAAGTTGGCGGAGCCCAGACCCAGGCTGCCCAGGCCCAGGATGCCCCCAAAGCCAGCTGCAGGGAGGGGCAGAGTCACAGTCTGCCGCAGGAGCCCCTCCCCACCTAGTCAGAGCCATTGAGTTCAGGTCTCCAGGATGGGCCCCAGTGCTTCTTGCATCTCCCTTTTCCAGTCATTCCCACAGCCCCAGCCCTGATCCACTGTTGGCAGAGATGTCAGCCTACTAGACTGAGCCCTCTTTGGTGGCAGAGGCTGGGAGCAGGGCACAGTCCTGAGCACAGAGAGGGCAACCACTGAAGGCCTGTTTAATGAGTAAATCAATATTCCTCACCTGGCCACTTCTGTCCTCACCCAGGGTTCCCCATATCTCCAGCCCCATCTCTCCCCTCACTCTAACATTGGTCCATGCTCCCCTTATCTGGGAAGCCCTGATCTGGGTCCTCTATCCCCATCAGACCTTGAGTGGGAACCATGTTTCTCCCTTCTCTTGGCTCTCCACCAATCCCCAGTCCCAAACAGGACAGTGCCCTTCTCCCTATGGGCTTACAGAGTATGGATGCTGTAGCATTGGAAGGGCCCTCCCCAGCCCCTGAGGAGGGACCCCCCCCACTGCTCCTCCGGCTTCCACTGCCAGCATCCGAAGTGGCGCTGCCAGAGGTGGAGGGCTGGGCAGGGGTGGCAGGTGAAGCAGGCGTGGTGGAGGGTGCTGAGGCAGGGTCTGGAGTGGAGGGGGAAGAAGCAGTGGCAGCAGCCGGATCTTGAGCCCTGAGGACAGAGAAAGAAAATCCTAGAGTACGTGAACTCAAGAGGGGAGATAATCATCTCTGTGTTTGCTGTGAAGCTACTGCCCCAACCCAGGCCACATCCTACGAAACACTGAAGCTGGGATAGGGTGATGCTAGGGGGTAGTCAGAAAATCAGAGAGAAGGAGGAGCTAGTATCATCTGTCCTCAGGGCATTCTGGGAGATGTACGTCAGGATCCCTTCCCCTGTAGGTGAGGATGATAAGCCTGCTTGGCAACCCATCCAAGAGCCACCTTCCTGGGCCTTGGCACAGGCCCTCTAGGCACAGCTGAGTGATGATGGTTTAGAAAGTATCAGACGGGAAAAAGTGATCCAATCAGAAGCTGGACCTGCTACTCTCCTAAACTTACTTCTGAGGGGTCTTGATGACCAGATGGACAGTGAGCCCATCTTTGATCCCATGCTGGTTCAGTGTGTCCCCATCCTTGAGGATCTTGCCTGCGAAGATCAGGACCAGCTGATCCTGCTGAGCCTTAAACCTCCGGGAGATTTCCTCTTTGAACTGTGATCAAGAGGCAGAGGTCACTGCAAAGGTTGTGTGGACTCCATCCACCAGAGACCCAGGCATTCTTTTGCTCCCATCTCTAGTTGTGGGAAGTCCTTTCTACAGTCTTGACTCCATCCCTCCAGCTGCAATAAGCAGCTCCTTTCTTAATCAAGGAGATAGACTCATGAGAGGCTCTTCTTTCAACTCTCCTCCAGGGTCTCCCACCCCAGGAAGGCCTTGCTGCTACCTGACCCTCCCTCTTCAGTCCCTCTGCCCAGCTCCCTGCAAGGGTCCTGAATGGGCAGCACTTTCCACCTCAGTTCCTAGAACAGCCCTGGACCGAGGCCCTGTCTCCCTCAGCCTCCTCTTCTCAAACCCCAATTTTCTCTCCCCTCTTTATTCCCAGTCTACTAGTAACAACTACAACACAGAGATCCCAGTTATTTATAATGGTACTAATTAGTCATGAGTTACAAATCTAAGACTCATGAAATACACATTATTATTTCCATTTTAAAGATGAGAAAAAAAGAGGATCAGAGAGGTTAGGCAACTTGCCACGGTAGACTGGACTCACACACCAAAGGCCAGGCTCTTAACCAAAACATTGCCTCTCAGTTGGAACTGATTTCAAATCCAACTTTGCTGGGAGATGGATTTAAATTCTGGATGTAACCATTTAATGAGATTGGGGGCGGGAAGTGATGATACTAAAGTCTGGTTTGGGAAATTAGACTACTAAATCTATCACCCCCCCCAAAAAATCCAACCAAACCAAACAGACACTCAAGTAAAAATAGTGCACTTGCTAAGCAAAGGCAGCTTCCAGATTCTCCCTTCCAACCAGAAGGCCTATCTTAAGCCCCGCCTTTGTGAAATTCTGGAGCAACCACAGGGCGGTGACGAACATAGGTAATATTCCCTCATTCAATACGATTTTCCTGAACATCTGCACACTGGGTAAATCCCAGTGGGGATGAGAACCAAACGGAACCGCCTGGACTTGAAAGCAAGAAGAAACTGGGCAGAGAAATCCTCCCCATAACGCCCGCAGGTAGAGCAAGCTGGGCGCTCTCCCAGGTGCACCGTAGGCGCCGCGAGCTCTCCGCTGCGCCCCCCCCCCCACCTGCTCTCTGGACTCAATACCTTGCCCGACTCCCACTCAGCCTCCACGCCTCGAACCCCGACCCGGGCGCACACTCCCCTCAAATCCAGGGTCCTTCCCCCTTCCCTGCGCAAAGTGGCCCCACCCCACTCTCCACCACGCCCCCAGTCCAGGCCACAAGGCTAACCTCGGCCTCCTTTCCCCAACACGCGCCAAAGCTCCACCAGATTACACTCGCAGAACGCCCCCTACTCGCCTTTCTTCCTTCCCGCTCCTCCGAGTGCCAGCTGGGCCCCCGCCCTCCTCTTCTAGGCCCTCCCGTACGCCCAACCGTCCAGAACCACCCCCTCTCTTCGCAGACCCCTCCTCCCTGCCCACTCCCCACCAAACTACCTCCTTGACCGAGGCTCGATCGCAAATCACAATTTCCTCCTTGTCTTTGGGGGTTTTGACGGTGACCCGAATTGGGGGCCTCGTCTCAGCCCCGCTCGGCTCCGCCATGCCGCCACCACCACCCGGCCGCCCGCCAGCCCGCCCGGGCTCCTCCTCCTCCCCGCCCGCCCGGCTGACCCCACACGGCTCGGGTGTCTCCAACACTCTCCTCTCCCCTCCCCGGCCCTCCCCTCTCTTCCCTAAGACTTCGCCACCAGCTTTGAACCATCTGCAGCCACAGCGCCCCGGGCGGACTGGGGGGGCCACTGCAGCGGAGTCTGCCCGGGGCTGAGCCCCAGGTCCGGCAGGGGCGACAGAACCTCGCACGGTGACGGCCCCTGGGGGTACTCCGGGCAGGGACGGCGTGTCGCTCACATGTGGGGCGGGGACCGGCTCCCCGCGGGAGACCAGGGCCCATCCTAGAGGGTCTGAGCGGACCCGAGGTCCCCTCCGGCCCAAAGCTGCCCCAGCCCCCTCCCCAGGTCATTCTCGCTGCGGGACAAAGGACTCTCTGTGTCGCCGCTTTCTCTCCGTTCCGAGATAGCTGGTCCAAATCCTTTCCAGGCCTGGGGCCTCTGCCGACTTGGAGGTTGAATTTTCCCACTTCTGGACGTCTACCTAACATTTCATCTCTAGGATTGACTTCACTCCTCCGAGGGTTGTATCCTGAATGAACTCTATGAAGTACGGTTCTAGAGCCCTCGGTTTTGCCTGCGTGGCCTTCCCAAGCCTTGATTTCCTCAACAGCATCTATCCCATCACACAGAATTGCGCATAGTGTAGAAAATTGCTTTGAAAGGGGTGTCTGACAAATACAGAAAATTTTTTAAATCACTGAATCGTGTATTGTTAAGCGGACACGATAACTTTTCCCTCCCCGAAGAAATTGAATGTCCTCCCAGTCCTTTTATTCCGCTCCCTGTGCCACTCCGCCACAACTGCTTGGTCTGAGCGGAAAGGCAAACTATACTTCCCAGGTGCCTCGCGAGCCCTCGAGGAACTACAATTCCCAGCGGCCCCCCCTATGTGGGGCGGGGTTGAGCCAGAACCACAAAGCCGGGTCAGGGAAACTACAACTCCCAGAAAGCTCCGGAGCTGGGCAGTACCGGAAGCTGCAGGCGGAGCTGAGCAGGAGGCTGGTCGAGGGTCTGCGTGGTGAAGCCCAGGTATAGGAGACGCAGGCATGCTGCGTCCCAAGGCTTTGACCCAGGTGCTAAGCCAGGCCAACACTGGAGGTGTCCAGAGCACCTTGTGAGTTCGGACCGAGGACCCTAGCGGCGAGCACAGGAGTGGGGCAGCGCGCGGCTCTCTGAGGGAGGAGTGGGGAAGGATGTCCGGGAAGGGAGGGGGCAGCCACTGGGAATATCAGCGTGGACGGCGTCTCTGGGAAACGAAAATTAACGAGCTGGTTGCTCGGGTCACGTTCCAGGACACACTCAACCCAGACCTTTGCTTTCTGGAAGCGTCAGTGGTGGGGCTGTATTGGGAACCCAGGCCTTTTACTCCTCATGCTGAGCTCGTCACTATCCCTCCCTGTCCCTCACCAGGCTGCTGAATAACGAAGGATCTCTGCTGGCCTACTCTGGTTACGGGGATACCGACGCCCGGGTCACCGCAGCCATCGCCAGTAACATCTGGGCGGCTTACGACCGAAACGGGAACCAAGCGTTTAATGAAGACAATCTCAAATTCATCCTAATGGACTGCATGGTATGGAGAGAGGAGCCACTTCCTCTGTCCTCTAAAGGGATCCCCAGGGGGTGAACTGTACCCTGTCAGGGATGGTTGGGATCTGTGGAAGATTGCTAAAAGTTGGTCCCAACAGCATTTATAATAGGCAGGACCTGTGCATCAAGTGGTGGTGAGGAAGCAGCTCTGGACCCTGTATCTGCCTGGGGTTCTGGTCTCAGCCAGCCACTTACCATCTGTGGAAACTTGCTTAAGTCATTTAACCTCTCTGAGCTTTCTTACTAGAGCTCTAAGGCAGAACCAATACCTCCTCCCCACCTCACAGTGTCGTTGTGAAGGTAAATGGAAGAGAGACTAGAAAGTGTAGAGTGAGGTGTGCACAGAGCGTTGGCATCCCAGATTCACTGACTTACGGAACCATGACAGTCTGCAGACCCTTCCCTAATTCCTTCATTTGACAGAGAAAGATTAGGTTCAGAAAGGGGAGGTGACCATGAGGTTGGGGACTTCCTGGGAACGGAAATTGAAAACCACTTTTGTTCATTCAACGTGTAGGTCTCTGCAGTATTCTCAGGACTGGGGGGGGGGGGGAATAGCAAACAGAACAGACAAAATCTGCAGACCTAGTGAAGTTTACAGTTTACCTGTTTTAAGATAAATAAGATGTGTATGTTTTGTTAACTAAGTTTGTAAATATGTTTTGTACAACATGTAAGTTTGAAACATAGTACATCGAGTGTTGAAAACACTATGAGAACAATGAAGTAATGAAGTGAGATAGAGGGGAGCACGTTCCAGCGGAGTCTCACTGAAAAGTTGGTATTTCATCACAGATTTGAAGAAAGTTGGCAAGCCGTGTGGCTGTCTAGAGGAAAAGCATTTGCGATAGAGAGAACAGCAGGTGTAAAAGCCCTGAAGCCAGAGGGAGCCTGGTCCATGACCCTCAAGATCGTTGTACGGGGTGTGGCATGAGAATGGGGCAGGTTGTTGGGAGATGAGTCTGCAGATGTAGGGGGTCCACACCACCTTCCTGGTGCAGGTGGATGCCTGGTGACAGTTTCCTGAACCAAACTGAAAAGGCCCCAAGAATGAAGGATTTCTACTGTAACTCAGCTGCCTGCCACTTTCTCACCCCCTGCACAACCGAGAGTGCATTTCAACTTAACTAATGACTCCTATTGGGAACCTAGCCTAGCGCTGGTGCTATGGGACAGTAGCTTTCACACATCTGACCACAACCCAGCCCCAGGAGGTGCATTTCAGGTCAGAGCCCAGGATACACATACACCTACAAAGACAAGTCTTGTGAAACAGCACTAACTTTATGACATGCAATGTACTTCATTTCTTTATTTTTTCTCTTAATATTGATCAACCTTCCTAACTGATCTAACCCTGGGGTCAAACCTACAGTTTGAAAGTATTACCATGGGAAAAGACAATAAATGTAAGTTGGGTTATTGCTTTCAAGCCCTTTACAGTATCTTTGGGGTGAACCCATAATAACATCACCCGTTAGGATAGCCCTTTGCAGAAGTAAAACTCCTTCCTGTGCACACTAACACCCTCACCAACTGGGGAAAGACATGGGTTACAGAAAGAGAAACCAAGTTTCTGGGAGGTCGAGTTTCCCAGGGTAACTTGGTTATAGACAGCTGTGCTGAGGCTGGAATTGGGGCATAGGACCCCATGTCCAGGGCTGTGGTTATAGCCCCAGCCCCCCACCCCCAGTTGAAGTTCCTGCCATGCTCAGGGCATGGAAAGAAGATACAGTCTCTCTCAAAAGGATCCCTTGAAGAAAGAGGGGCTAAGGGTGCCAAGCAGAACATCCCATCCTGTGATATTACCCCTCCAGGAGGGCCGCGTAGCCATCACTCGAGTGGCCAACCTTCTGCTGTGTATGTATGCCAAGGAGACTGTTGGCTTCGGAATGCTCAAGGCAAAGGTGTGTATGTGCCCATCCCTCTACAACCCTGAGCCCAGCGTTTGTTCTTCCTCACTATCCTCTCCCATCCCCACCGCCTTCCTGGAATCCTTATGTCAGTCCACTTCTGGTGGGGCCAGGGGCTGGGTGCTCAGCATTGAGAGTTGATCTGGATTTGGGATCCCTCTTACGGCAGGCCATGTGTGGCACTGATTTCTCCTCCCCTCTCGCAGGCCCAGGCCTTGGTGCAGTACCTGGAGGAGCCCCTCACCCAGGTAGCAGCATCATAATGGGCACTGGTGGAAGTAGGGGGCCAGACCAGAGAGATGACCATTTGGATGGGTGAGGACCCCTGAAGAAACCTTCCTGGACTGTGGGGAAGGGTGGGACTTTGTTTTTTTCCAAGAATAAATTTCACTTCTGTCTTTACGCTTTGGCTGCTTTCTCGGCTGGGAGGAATCAGGAGATGGGGAGGAGCAGGCATGGCATTCAGGTTTCCTCATGTCCTGCAGGGGCAGTTCCACCCGCCTCTGCACCAGGACCTCCAGCAGCCAAATGGTTCTGGGCAGTGGCGCCTGAGCTCCCTCAGCCTCTCCAGTGGTGTGGCCTCACTTGGCCCACACCACTCAGAACAGAATTTTACTCACCTGGTTGGCAAAACCTTGGAAGTAAATTCCAAGGAGCAGGGGGTTAACGGGGGTCCTGTTGGACAAAAATAATATGGGGCCTGTGAGTTCATTGTCCTTCAGTCCCAACTTTGGTACAGTGCTTTTTCTACTCTTGGGTTGGGAGGGATCACCCCTTCCTCTTCTCCCAGGTACTCACACGCTCACCCAGACTCCAGATTCTAAAGCCCTTTGCAGGCAGGATGGCTTTGCTGTGGGGCTTCAGGGCCTGGGTGGTGATCTGAAGAAACCCAGGAGACCTGTCAAAAGCTTTCATCTCCAGGTCCTGCCCCTACACTCAGACCCCTCACCCTGTCTGGCTGGTTCTGCCCCAGCTCTCCCCCTACCTAGTGTCCCGAAGAGCAGGTCTGAGCAGGGAGTTACCAGCCCCTTGCCCAGTGTGGCAGGAAGGGACCCATCCTAGGAAAGTAGGTAGGTTGCAAGTTCCAGCTCCACCCAGGGTAAGAAACTGCTGCCCCTCCCAAGCCCTGGGCAGTTAGGGAGGGGTAGAAGTTGCTGTACCCGAGATACAACTCCTAGAGCTCTGCATCACAGCAGGGTGACTGCAGTCCTATCAGCCCTTCCTCAGGTACCCCAGTTACCCGCAACCAGAGGCTCCAAAGGAAAAGCAGAAGGCCAAGTAGATTTCTGCTCCCTGAGGGACTGATTCTCACTGGCAGTGGGGCCTCTTGGCCAGAGGTTCCAGGAGCCTAGCAAAATGTACTTAGTCCTCGGCTGGCTCTCTGAAGGCCCTGTCCCTGCTTCCCCAACTGTCACCCTCTGGCGCCTGCTCGCCTATCGTGGGAGCCCAAGCGGAGAGCAGACACCCAACCTGTCTAACCTGTCTGACGTCATTGTCTCCACCCACCTGGGCCCCAGGTCTCTAGCTGCCCCGCTCTTCCTGTTCCGTCCTCCGCTTCCTTGCAACACCCCACCTGCCTGAGCTGAGCCTCCCGGGCCTTGCCTAACCTGAAGTGAGCCCTCAGTTCCTTTGGTTGTAGAAGGTTCTTTATCCCCAATGCGAGAAGGGGTGGATCCAGGTCTCTTAAGAGCTGGGAGTTGAGGGCACTGGGCCAACACACAGACCCGGCACCTCTGTCTCCGAAGACACTTGCACCCTCCATGTGGAGCCAAGATGGGGAACGGAACTGAGGAAGATTATAACTTTGTCTTCAAGGGTAAGTTGGAGTTCATAAAGAAAGAGGGAGCCTGGCACAGACCCAGAAAGAGACCCACAGAGCCGGCCCCTCCTACCTTGTTGTTTCTCTCTTATCAGGACCCCCAGGGCTCATCATTTCTTTGTATAAGAAAGAAAGCTACAAGGATGGGGGAGGGTCTGGTTACTGGAGTGAGAGCTGGAAGGCTGTGTCATTGTAAACAATGGTGTTGCTGTCTCTCTCCAATGGCGCCGAGTTAGGCTCCTATGCCCTGCTCCTAATGGAAGGTCAAATCCCTAGGAATAGGCAGCTGCAGCAGCATGAGAGATAGAGGTCAGACTTCCAAGAGGGCTTCCCTCCTGGGAGGAAGGGGAAACAGGCAGACTTAAGAGGAAGAAAGGCGTCTTTCTGGGCAGGTGCACAGAAGAGGAAAGAGGAGAGGTCTGTCCTGTGGTCGGGCTGGGTGAAGACGCAAGGAAGGTGTGACACATTGGGAGCAGGGTCTATTGGAGCTCAGAGGACTCCTAGGGCCAGGACCAAATACCAGGCACCGGGTCCAACTTGGCTGTCCCTGGAAGTGTGCACATACCTTTCTGCTCTTTATTCTAAGCCTCTGTTTGGTCCCCTCATTTTTCTCCACCCCCACACCACCCTCACCTCCACACCTCCTTCAGGGCAGGTTGGACTGGCAGAGCTCAGATTCCTTGTCCAGCCACCCTACCCCACTGCCTTTCCCAGCCTGAGCCCCGCCCTCACTTGGGACTCAGGCGACCAGGTGTTGGGGAACCTGTATTCTCAACATCTTTCCCAGGAAGAGGAGACTGGGTGAGAGCTAACAATAGTCTGGGGCAATAATACTACTAGTAACTACCATTTATTGAGCTCGTACTATGTGCCAGCCACTAGCTTATCGATCATCATAACAACCCCAGAAAGTTACCTTTCATTTTGAAAGTAGCCAGGAGCCAGACAGAGTTCAGATCTCAGCCCTGCCACTTACTCCTTATTGCAGGTTGGGATCTCTCAGAAGTTTGGGGTACAAGATGTTTATTATGAATCAACATCAGTGAAAGGAAGGGGGAGGAAACAGGGTTGGGCAGAGAGAGAAGTTAAACTTCAAGGCAGGATCACCAAGCCCCAGCCAAAGGCAGGGAGCTCTGCGCTACCCCGACCTCGCCTGGGCAGTGGATGGAGACTGCCCGGGAGCAGCACGGCTCCAGGGGAGGCCGCTCAGGCTGCTGACTGCCCTGCCCGCGGCTGGGGCAGGTTCTTTCTGGAAGGCCCCCCGGGCAGCACACCTGTGTTTATCACACTGGCTGTGTTCTCTCGCTCAAGGTATTTAACCCCTCAAGTGCCTCCTTTCTTCATCTGTAAAAATATGATGGTAATGAAGATGAAGATGATGATGATGATAGCACATGCCTTATGGCACTTTTGCGAGGGTTGAGCTAATATGTGTAAAGGCTTTAGGACAGTGCTGGGCAGTCTGCAGGCACTCCATAAACTTTAACAATTAGTATCTCCATTTCTCAGAGGAGGCTGAGAAACAAAGTGGCGTACAAAACATAACAATGTGGGCACAAACCCGAGTCTGTCTGGTTCCAAAGCCCTCATCCGAAGCATCGTCGGGGCCCGAGGGCCGGGCGAGGTGCCCGTGCACTGGACACATGGAGCACAGACTGGGTCCCCAGTAAGGGAGTGTCAGGGACACACACATCCTCGTACCACACACACCCACACGGCTCCCAGATCTTTCCTACCCTCTACAAAGAAGGAATCTTTAAAGATGGAGGGGGCTTTTTAAGATTTCATAAATAAGGAAATTGAGATTCCGGGAAGGTCAGTCAGTTGTTTGAGATCACGTAGCTACTCAGAGGCTGGGTGGGGACCAGAGCCCCAAAGCACGCAGCTCACAGCCCTTGGGCACCAGCCCACCTTCCTAAACCACTGTGGGCGGCCTCCTCTGATCCTGTGCGTTCAGCTTAGCGCCTCTGCGATGTGTGAGTCTTATTTACATCAGCCTCCTGCACTCTGCCCCAGCCCCTAGCTGCTGACCCACGGTGGGTGAGGCGGGCCCCGGACTGAACCCTGCAGCCAGGGCTCCGCGGGCCCCTGGCCCCTGAAAACCTGGAGGTAAAGCACTGGACTACCAGCAATAGGCATGAGAGTAACAGTCTTACACACGCACCGTATCCTGAGCAATATCTCATTTACTTCTAACAATAACCCATAAGGCAGGTACTATTCTTACTCCCACTTTTTGTAAAAAAAAAGAAAGTCTGAGAGGCTAACTTGCTGAAGGACACACGGGCCCAACGCCGGGCCCCGTGCAGGAACGACCCTCTTTGGGGACAAATGGGTCCTGCCTTCTTACACGCACCCATACTGCCACCCCCACCCAGATGTGCCATTGCCAAACTTCCTCCTCACCTACACTTATACTCACACCTCTGCTCTCATGCAAACACACACACCACCCCTCCCACTCGTCCTCCCAACTCACATACACAGTGACACACACAAGTGCTCATACTCCCTACTCCAGGAAAGCGCACCCTCCCCCAGGCCTCCTACTGTCTGTCCACATTCACAGCCTGCCAGCCTCTCCCCATAGTCCCTGAGCACCAACATCTACAAACAGCCCATAGACATCACCCATCACCAGATCTGCAGGCTGATTCTACAGACCTGTCTCATCAGACCAGGCCTGGGACTCTGAAAGCCCTTTAACTGGGTGCAGCTCTTGGCCCTTCTGCCTCGAACAGACATGACATGTGGAGCCGCGCACCTGTCTCCACCATGAGCTTGGGCTCCCTCCTCGGTTTTCTGAGCCCAGCTCCCCTTTGCTGCTGGGCAAACCCTCCAGGCACAGGTGGACTTGGGGCTGCTCTGCCCTGCTCAGCCCTTATCTCTCCACTCCTCCAGTGGTGCTGATCGGAGAGTCAGGCGTGGGGAAGACCAATCTGCTGTCCCGATTCACACGCAATGAATTCAGCCACGACAGCCGCACCACAATTGGGGTTGAGTTCTCCACCCGCACTGTCATGCTGGGCACCGCTGCTGTCAAGGCTCAGATCTGGGACACGGCTGGCCTGGAGCGATACCGAGCCATCACCTCAGCGTGAGCCCGGGGCTGGGGGTTGCTGCGGTGTGGGGGTGCTGGGAAAGTCAGGGAAAACTGCTGGAGGGGAGAAGGAGGGCAGGGAGGAGGCAGGGGCACTCCGCGGTATGCTCCCTGGAGGGATCGCAGGATGCCACGGCCAGGGGGAGGAGACACAAGCACTGGGAGCCACACACAGTCTGAGACAGGATATAGTGACGCTGACTACTAGGACTAAAGCCTCGAGTCACTGCCACCACTTCCTAGGCCTTTGCTGTGTGCCCAGGAAGGGACGGGCACCTCACATTGGCATTTTATGCAATCTCCAAGGCACCACAGGGCCACGGTACTGTCCTTAATCCCGGTTTAGCACAAGCTCGAGGTTAAGCATGTGAAGTCCAGCTGGAGCTCGGATGGCAGCAGGCCGCAGGGACTGATAGCACCCCTCACTTCCACACACTGCCTTGCACTCGGCAACCTTCACCATCCAATAACACAAGCGAAGGG